CGATAGGTCCATATGAACAGGATCCTTCCCTCCTTTTCTCGGACTGGGACCTGTTCATGTACGTTCTTGGCAGATGATCCAGACGTGGTTTGCCATTGCCTTCTTCTGTGTGTGCATGGAGTAATTGTTGGGATGCCACGGAGGAAAACTCCGTGTTGCCTAGACCACGGCCTTGCCCAACACAAGTTATAAATTCGGGCACCGCCGGGAATCGAACCCGAGACCCCCAGGATTACAAGGCCAGCGTTCTAACCGTGGCTATCAATCTCTAATATAATATATTTGTTATTATTTCGGTTGTTTGTTTTTGATTTCTGTTTGTTTCGTGTTGATGCAGCAGTAAAAAGAATTGAATCTAACAGAATTTAATTTATTATTATTATTAAGCTTAGAAAAGCTTATTTTATATCACGTAAACAATACAAATTACTTTCTCTCCTACAACCAACAAAGTTAAGCTGAAATAATCTGACAAATATACCACAACAACCAAACCTCTGAATATAATGAGGACTCTTGACTACGAAAGTTCAAAAGAAAAGACGAATAATTTATATCAAACGTGGGCACTTAAAAGTGTAATGTCAGGCAAACAATCATATTTGTATCACCAGACGAAGAATATACACGTGACAGGTGCATCAGCTGTGAAAAAAACAATCTAATTGCAAACTGGGATAATTAGACGTCCAGCGAATGGAAAATATAAACACGTACAAAGGTCATAGGTGAGACAGCAGTGGTCTGGTAGCGTTTGAGAACTTTCTGAATCATTAAAAGCATGGAAATTTACGTAAAATCTGTGAATTACTTACACTATATATGGAAACAATAACAGCTGAAAGTAATTTTGTGATAAAAGTGGTTTTTTCGAGATAATTAATTAAAAAGCCACATACGGCCCGCGACTTGGTAATGCCAATGTTGTTAGAGCAACAAAGTTGATGCGTCAGAAGATTTCATTGTAAAGAGTAAAGAATTTCCACAACGCTACTGAGTCTAATAAAAAT